CTGAGCCTCTGGCCTGTACCCCAGTTCTGTATGTACAAATAAATAAATCTTTAAAAAATAAAAAAAAATAAAGTTACACGTATTTCCACTGTGTTAAATATCCTTTAATACTAATTTTTAAATGGCTTGACAGCATTGCATTGTGCAGGTACTATGTAGCTTATTTTGCCCTACTAGTATGGAAATAATTTTATAACTAATTCCGTGGTGTGCATCTTTATAATCTATGCTTGTAGGCATCTCTAACTGTTGTCCTGCAATATATTCCTGTATGTAAAATTGCTGAGTGAAAGAGTTTCAGGTTTCAAGTTATGGCTCCTCTTGAAAAAGTGATCTAAATAAAGATTCACAAGTTACATCCCTCCTTCCACCTGAGAGGTCTCAGGCAGGGGCCCCGTTTATCTGCAGCTCCCTCACTAGTCCTGGCCTTGGGTACTCGTGATGCAGGTACCAAGGTGTTTCTGTGAACTGGCTGGAAGATCACTCCTTTTCCTTTCCTGCTAGTGAGGGACCTTGGACGTACTACAGGCAATCCTACCTGGGGCTTCTGGTTCTAGAAATGTTTTCAAAGGACCTGATGACCGGCTGAGGTGAAGTTCTCCATTTGTCTGCTTGGGGCCCTTGAAGCTTCCTACTAGGGAAGTGGAGGCCACCTCCGCATGCCCGGCATCAAAAGCTTCTCCTTGGCCTCTGAGTGGGCAGACTGCTTGGAGGAGAGAAGATGGGCCCATCTCGCTATATTTAACACTGTCATCTTTTCTTAGCCTGCAGGAAAAATCCACTTTGCTTGTATCCACATGGACACCCAGGCAGCAAATGGAAGTGTGCCAACTGTAATCCTGTGTTCAGACCTTGGCAAGTCTATCTCCCAACTCCAGAATGACCATGCTGGCCTCTCTTAGGCTCATTTTGCTGTCACAGCTCTCATCTTACTGGCCCCTCAGCCCAAATACAGGGAGAAAGAATTTAAGTGACATGGTGGAGGATCCCACAATGTGAGCTCAGGTCTTTTACCTCCAAGCCCAGACTCTTTCTGACCCAGCCTGAAGTTGGTATTGCCATGTGGAGTAACAAGAAAATGCAAGAAAAGGAAAGATGATGGCCAGTTTTCTTAGTAGCTCCACTTTCTTCTCAACCCCAACTCCAAAACGTGCTTGCCTACAGCACAGCAGTCTGCAGCACCCTCCACCACCACTCACTATGTCTCTGGGCTCAGTTCCCACAGATACCTGGTCTCTGAGCTTGCAAATAAGGTTTCTGGGAGTCTTCGATTATGCCCCCACTTCCTTTACTCGGGCCACCATCTTCTCCCCTCCCACCACTCCCAAGTCCTACCTTCTCCAACACCCCTACCAGGGGGTCCCATCCACCCTCCTGTACCCTATGCTACATAATCAGAGAGCGGCTGGCACTCTACCCGGGCACTGGCCCACTCTTCCCAGTGCATCTGTCTCCCCAGCTGGAGAAATGACCAGTTACATTTGTAAGTGCATTCTAAGCACCTGGTTGTAGCTGAGCACTTGGTCAGCCTAGACAAAGAAGAACGAGGAATGCTTTGAGAACAGGCCCAGGATCTTCAAGGACACATGAGTCTGTGGCAGAACCAGGGCAGAATCGGGTCTCCAAAGCTGGTCAGACTCTGGCCCTTGATTTCACAGCCATGGACCCAGGCCATGGTTATAGTTCACAGCATTCTATGAAATAATGATTGAGGGTCAGCCACTCAGTCCAGCAGGGTTACTTACCATGGAAGCAAAGATAGGCAGGAACAGGGTGGTGGTGGCCACGTTGCTGGTGCACTCTGTGAACACAGCAATGAGCAAGGACAAGATCAAGGTGATGGCTGCTGGCGACATGGTGCGCAGAGGCTCCATCTGCTTCCCCATCCACTCCGACAGCCCCGAGGCCTGGGGAGCACAGGGAGGGGAGTCACTGCAAGGCTGCAGGTTTACAGTTCTGCCAGAGCCAAAAGGCACCCTCATCTTTCTCCAGGAGTTCAACCTACACCACCTGATTTCTGATTCTATCTCTGCATATGTTCCATAGGAGACCTCAAACGTGCCCACAATATCAATCTCCACTCTCAAATACTGTCTCGCAAATCTGTGCTTCCAACCGTAAAATTTGGATTTCCACCCAGATGTTCTATGAGTATGTCAGATTCTACATGTTCCAACCTGAATTTATCCTCTGCCCCTGGGCTCCCCAACTTGGTGAATGGACTTACCACTCAACTACCTTCCAGCCTAGAAGCTTGGGGGTCACCTTAAGGGTCTCTGCTCCCTTCATTCCTTATACCCAGCCCATCATTGGGTCACCAGGGAAAAAATGAAAAGCGAACAGAGAAAAGGCCAAGGACAGAACCTTGAAAAACACTCAAATTTAAGGGACAACAGAAGCAATTTCAGCAAAGATGGCAGAGCAGGAACAATCAAGAGTTCGAAGGAAAATAGAAGATGGCACCTGAGGGCCAACAAAGGAGTTTAAGAAGGAGAAGAGGCCCCAGGGGCTTCAGTGCTCTGAGACTGAGTTAGATGAAGAACACAGAGTGTCTACTGGGCCTTTCCCACCCCTCCCCAGTCCAGACCTCCACTCCAGATGTTAGAGTGGTTGTCCTCAAGTACAGATTCAAACAAGTCACTCTCTGACTTCAACATCCATAGCTGTTCATGGGCTATCTTAGATTCAAGACCCTCAGTGAAGTGGCTTCTGCCAGCCTCAGTAGCCCCATCTTCTACTTTTCCTCAGCAGGACATCATAGGCTGACTCCTTCACTCATGTGTCACTTCTAACTGAAATGGCCTTCCAGATGTGCTTCCCTCTCTAGACTTTGACCTCTTCAAGAATAGGGACTGTATCTCCATCTCCTCTTTAACCTTCGTGCCTGTCCTGAGACAGATAAGATAGGAATGTTTGATGAATAAATGAATGAACAGTAGTGAGATAAATAGATGGGCACATGACTAGATTACTGAAGGGAGAGGTGACTAGATGGATGCTTTTGATCATCCAAAATAGCCATGTACTCACTAGGCGCCAGGATACAGTCTAGATGCCAAGAGAATACAGCCATAAGATAGCCAGGATACAGCCATAAGATAGCCAAGTCTACATGTTGCCTTCTATTCCTGGGTGGGTAGGTGGAGGGATGACATGAATAGATGCATGGGTAAATCAATGGATGGATGGATGATGGGTGGGTGGGTGGGTGGGTGGATGGATGGATAGATGGAGGGAAAGATGGATGGGTGAATGGATGGATGATGGGTGGGTAGGTGGATGGAAGAATGGATGGATGATGGGTGTATAGGTGGGTAGATAGGTGGGTGGATGGATGGATGGATGGATGG